TGGGCCCTTACATTCTAAAAGGGCCTGGATTTGGGGTCCTGGGTTAGCCTAAGTTTTTAACCTTGCTCTATTGGAAGGGTAAATGTGTCCTGTGTTAAGGGGAAAACACTTCTCTGAGGCTAACCTATTGGCTATTTGATGCGAGTACTAACCAGTGAAAACTAGACCAGCAGACCTCGCTGTGCACCCGTCGACTGGCAGAGTTAAGTTTTTAAAAACTCTAAACATAGCGCCTGGGGTTAGTGGAGTGAAAAACCAGCCCTAAATCAGGCCTGGTCCCAATGCTGCAATGGGATCGGCAAGGCTGGACCGCGTGTCCACCTGAGTCTGCGTGTGTGGATCTCCTGGGGCGACTGCCCTTTTGCTGTCGTTTGGAGCTTGACCCTGCAAACGCGCAGGGAGCATGACTTGGATGAGTAGCCCTGTCGTTTTTCTTAAAGTAAATGTATTTAACGTAAAGCGGAAAATCCTGCTTCGAACGTGGGCTCCTAAAGCAGCCATCTAAATCCCAGGAGACTGCTCTAGCGAATTGTTCTCTTATGGATAACGCTGACGATGGTTTTATTGCTGCTGTTGTCATTATTTAACATGACTACTACTGTTCTTTGCCATGACCCCGGCGCCAGGGGCTGTACGAACACAGAACAAAAAAGGCAGGGCCTGCCCCAAGAACTGACGATCTCTGCAGTGAGATGCATACACTTCTCCCCCCCCGCCCCCTCCAGAAAGAGAGGAAGCCGTAACACAGGAGGGAATAAATAAATAGATATTTTTAGACGAGTTATTTTTATATTTTTGGAAGCATTTTTTTTTCAGCGTCACCGAATGTGCTACTAATTTTCTGTACGCCTCAGAAAGTAGGTGGTTAGTGCAGTGTGCTCAGGCTGTTGGTTGTGACATTTTATCACTGCCTTTTGGAAGCAGACGTGATCGTCTCAATCGATAGTAAATGACCCGAGAGCACTAAGCTTGCACTGCTCAGGAGTCATTTCCTTTCGCTGTGGTTGTGTGAAAAGAAAAACCAAGCAGTTAATGGCAAGGCCATTGTATTATTGTTTTTAATAAAAGGAAATAGTTTAAAAGGGACCAGGGCTGTTTTCCGCCATTCCCTGTGGTACCAAATACCCTGAAATGATTCAAACGGAAAGAATTTTGAAAACAAACGTACTTTTCGCCATAGGTGTGTGTTTAACTTTTACGTTTCACTCAGGTCTCTACAGGGACTAGTGGGGTCAGTTTCACTTTTTTATACTAGTAGGTATCACTTTCAGTGGTTAGATAGCAGCCCAGCGCTCTGGTGTTTGGGTTCACAGAGCCACAGAAAAATGAGAAAATGGTTATTGTTGTTGCTGTTGTTTTTATTGTTAGTTCATGAAAATATTTCTATTTGTATTAGGTTGTGAAGAAGGCTCTTGGTGTGTTTAGCAAACCTGTATTTCAGGCTGAAGTTTAATATGATGCGATCCCTATAATGGTGCAGCAATTGTAGAATTTTGGTTGTTTTCACATAACTGATACAATAATATAAAAATACGACAGATGGTTTTAAAAAAGAGGCAAAATAGCTTAGCAGAATGCCCCACTTAACTGGTAGTTGTGTTACAGTTCTCCAAACACATCAATAATTGATTTTCTCCCAGTACTCTGAGTGTTAACGTTCACTGAAATACTGCTTCATTATTTTTTAGGGCCGGTGTACTCGAGAGAACTGCAAATATCTTCACCCTCCCCCGCACTTAAAAACACAGCTCGAAATAAATGGACGCAACAATCTGATCCAGCAAAAGACCGCGGCAGCCATGTTTGCACAGCAGATGCAGTTCATGTTACCCGGCGCTCAACTACAGCCAATTGTAAGTGACAGAAATGACTTAGGTTCCTCTTGGTGCAGATTGCTTTAATAGTTACGTGTGACAGCCCTGATCCTGCACTCAGACTTGTATAGGTGAACCCATGTGCCTGGGTGCCACCGCACTGATTTTCGTGAGAATTCGTGCGGGGATAAGGATCTGCCCATGTGGATCCAATTGCAGGGTTGGGACCCAAAGAAATAGATGTGGTGAGGGTAGGTCCCTTAGCAAGCCCCACTGAGTCATACTGGTTCATTCTGTGGGGAGCGTCATATGCCTGATGCCACGGTCTCATCAGTAAAAGAGCAGGGCCAATAGAACGTTTGTGAAGATTGTGGCATTCAGTCTCCTCTCTGTACATTGGCATAACTTGGAGAAAGGCTTGGTCTAGTTGTCTGAGTACAGAACAGAGCTCTAGGGGCTCCAACATACCAGTCCTGGCTTCTACACTGTGCAGCTTTTGGAAAGCCACTTACCCCCCTTTTCTGAGTCTCCCAATCCGTGAAGTTCTAGGGGCCGGGAGCACTAGAAATGTTAGTGGACAACCAGAGGGGCAAGACCAAATGCATCCAGTCTTACTGCTGCTTGTTCCTCAGGTCTAGCACTCCTCTGCTCTTGGAACTGCTTTGCTTTGTCACTCAGACGGAATAAGTCGAACATCAGTTTGGAGTTTGCAAGCCTGCAGTTGCACCACAGAGGAAGGTGGAAGGAACACAACATAGGATGCACGCAGACCATTGTTTAGTTGGTTAATTTCACATGCTGTATCTGGAATGATCCCCCCCTTTTCCAGTAGCTCACCTTTGGAGATCCAGAATGTACTGATGCCAGTAGGGTCTCTGGCCTGCACAGATGGCATATAAGGGGAGGAGCCGGAGAGTCCTGTACTCAGCTCAGCGCAGGCCTCTGTTTTTGTTGTTTTGGTTATTATTTATATTGCAGGACTTCCTAGAGGCCCTAATCAAGGTTCCAGGCCCCATTGTGGTAGGTGTGCATGCATAACCAAAGCTAGCCCCGCCCTAACCAGCTTATAGGCTAAGAAGTAGAGCTGTATGGTTTTATGTCCAAGAATCAAAATATTTGCTTTAGTTGTCCCTACACTGGGTTGTGCTGAAATGGCCCAACCTAGCCCTTGCTTATTAAATGCGAGTCCATTGTAATGCTGTCTGTATCCAGTGGGATGAGGGGAGTTTTGCTTTTCTCCAGAGAGGTGAGGGAAAAGGGATGGGAAGCATCTGTCTGGGGGCTGAGTAGTCCTGCCACTCCCAGCCCTTGCATTAGCCAGATACATCAGAGCGGGGCACTGTTGGGCAGGACTACATCAGTGTCGTTTAAGCTGCTGATTACCATCTCTGGAATATGGGGTGTGTGGCTGCTGGTTGATGTCAGAGGTGCCTAACATGCCTCTTTGATATTGACAGCATTAGAAATCGAAATAAATGAGGTGCAGATTTTCAACAGTGAAGGTGATTAATCATGGGAACAGCTTGCCCCGGGCCGTGTAAAAGCCCTGCTCTCACGCAGCCAGAAGTGACAGGCATGACACCGCAATGAGCTTGTCTGCCTGTGTTCTGCAGCAGGTCAGACCAGATGACCGCCATGGTCGGGCCTTACAGTCTGTGACGCTGCGAAATCCTGTCTTGGGCTTGGAATGCTGGTGCCTCAGTGCAAAATGGGGTTTTAATTCAAGACATGGCCCTGTGGCTCTGTGACCAGCTTGGAGAGCCCTGAGATTTTTGTAGCAGATAAAGCAGACGTGTATCCTCCCAGCGACATGGGTGGCGTTTCTCCCGGGCAGAAGGATAACTTTTGTTAAAGCCTTATTCCAAACAACATGTTTACTCGATGAGATCATGTTTCAGCAGGGGAACTTGGCTATTGTTCTCCTCTCTGTACTGTTGCTTGGTGCGTTGGTGACATTGTACAGCTTTATTAAAATTGTTTATTAAAGACCGAGCCAAATTCTGCCCTTTGAGGTGCATGCGTGACTTGAGAGCAGCTTTTTGTTGATGCCCATCACCATGGTATTTGGCACCTCACAGGGTTTAATGAACTTCTCCTCACCACACCCTGCAGTGTAGGGAATGTGGTTATCCCCATTTCACAGAGGAGTAACTGAGGCTCAAAGAGAGGGAATGATTTGCCCCAGGAGAGTGGGATTGAACCCAGATCTGTTGAGTCCTTGCCCCAGGAAGGTTAATTTGAAGGAGAAACAGCCTCTGAGCGAGCTCCCCTTTGACAAGACGGGCTCACCCCAAAAGAATCGCCATTCTAACAGCAGAGGACAGGTCTCCATCGAAGGAAATCCTGAAAATGTTCCCGTTTCATTCCTAACACTTTACTCAGTGCAGTGTGTCCCGAGCCGGGGTTTTCCTCCGTGGGGAGTTCCCAATGATAAGATGTTGTCATCTCAGCAACTCAGAATAGCTTCGGAATTTCCTCTTTGGAAAATTCGCATCTTCCCATTATAAAATCTGTGGGCCAAATTCATCCCTAGTGTAAAGCCATTGATTTCAGTGAAGTTACACCAAGCTTGAATTTGTTCCCTGATGTCCAGTAGATGCTTTGTTTCAGAAGTAGCTATAACTGATGAGAAGTGTGCTCAGGTTTTGGACTATACTTGGGAAGATGTTATATTTGTTCACTGCTTCCCAGAAGGCCTGCGATGAAAACTGCCCCCTTCCTCCTTTCCTTCACTCCGCTCACAAAGCTAAATTCAGTTCTCATGCTGATTCCAGCTACTCCACTTCAGGAAAAGCAGGAGCGTGCCTTTTCCTTGGCCCTGGCAAAGATGTTGACAATAGAGCAAACTTGGATAATTTTTCCTGTCAGAAGAAGAAGGGCGGGTCCACCTGCTGGACGCAAACTAAATTCTTCAAAGCCGGAAGGATTATATTAGCTGCAACAACAGAAGAAATCCCACGTGATCGGCAAGCTGACAAACACCATGTCTGCTTCACTGGGATGTTCGCCAGAGCCTGGATTTGGTGCAGTGTATGTAAATAGCTCTAACCAATAACTGCATGTGCAGATGATCTTGCCATGACAATCCAAGCATCAAACCTCCATGACATTGAGAAAGCATTAACTGAGGACCTCCAAAATATGGAGCAATGTTTCCAGAAATGGAGGTTCAAACCAAACCCTGGAAAAACAATAGTAAGTGTATTTCATCTTGATAATAAGAGTGCCAAAAACATACTGAAAGTAGCTTTCTGTGGTAAAAATGTGCAACATCATTACACTCCAACATATCTCGGAGTGAAACGTGACCACACCCGCTCCTTCCATGACTATCTTGAGACGGTAGCTGCAAAGATAAAAATGAGAGCCAACATAATCCAGAAACTAGCGTGTACAACCTGGGGTGCATCAGCATCAGTGTTGCAAACATCTGTAATAACACTTGTATATTCAGTAGCTGAATATTGTGTGGACCAGATGCAGCTACGCATGACTTGTGGATACCCAGCTGAATAGAGTGATGTGATGTATCACAGGAACCCTTAAATCGACTCCAACACCATGGCTACCTGTCCTGTGTGACATTGCTCCCTCGCTGATAGGCTGAACTGCTGCAACATTCCACAAAGCTCAGCGAATCCAGGAAAACAGATGTCTTCCTAGTCACCAAGACCGTGACAAAGATGTCAGGCCCCACTAACCATCGATCTGGAGGTGCCAGCAGATTGGGCACAGGAACTGTCAAGACATCTGTCTTCAATTCCCATCCCAGCTCTGCCACTGAGCAGCCCTGTGGCCTTGGGCAAGTCAATTCATCTCTCTCTGGGCCTTTGTTTCCTTTGAGCTCTTCGTCTGTATGGTCCTTTTAGACCGTAAGTTCTTTCAGGGTGGGACTCTCTCTTTCCCAGTGTATTTACAGTATCTCGCACACCCATCTCAGGTACTTGTATGACGCCCATCTCTGGAGTATCCAAGCCTTGATACATTTTTCCCACCCTCCACCCCGCGAGGCAGGGTGGCACTGTTATCCCTGCTTACAAAGGGGGAACTGAGTCCCAGATGAGCTGAGGGTACAGCTACTCTCAGAGCTGGATGTGTTGTTCCCAGCTTGGCTAGGCATTCTAGCTTTGACCGAGCCAATGTGCTGAGAACACCAGTCCCTCCACGCCGCGGGCAGTGGGATGGGCTACGTTCCTATGGTCCTGGGTGGGGTCATCCCGTTGCTTGTTCCTCAGCAGCCGTGCGGCTGTTTTTGGCACACTTGCTTGATCGTGGCTAGCGAGCTGGTAACTACACTGCCAGCTCCACGTGGAGATGCTCCCGCAGGGACTCGCCCAAGGTCACATGGATGATCTGTGGAAGAGCAGAGATTTGAACCTGAATCTCAGGCCAGTTCCCAAACTAGTTTGTCCTTCCTTGCAATAGGGGCCCAATCGTGATCGGGGCCTCTCGGCCAAACCGTAATACAATACAAATGAATAATAATAGATCTAGTGTTCTTCTGTGCAAGCACTGGAGATCATGTCTGCTGAGCAGCCGGCCGCATGAGATTTTACCCCCTTGCTTTACATCACTGATGCCAGTAAACAAGGTCGTCTTTGAGCCAACGGTTTCTCTTCCATTAAAAGACCATCTGTTTTCATCAGGCATAAGGTGTCTCGAGCCAGCTGCATTCATCTCCATGTGCTTAGCCTCCATGCTAGAGATCCCAGAGCTTATCTGCAACGAGTCCCGCAGCATGAGGCCAAGCCCTCAACATTCATTTGTCACATTTTCACATCCTGCTTTTCAATAGCCTTGGGTTTGGTCGCACTATTGCAGAACCTTTTCCGGGGCAGTTTTGAGCTGTGGACTGACCAGTGGTGTTACTCTGCCATCTGGGCTACCCTTATGTACCTGCTTAGCAGAGAACTGGCTCATTCTTCTGCCTAATGCTGCTTCTGCATTTAGACTTGCAGGATCAGAGGCAATGCCTTTGCTCGGATCAGTAACGAGCATTTCTGTCTTAGATGGGACTCGTTTTAGTGCTGCTTATCAAA